TCGTTTAATTTGATCTGAAAGTCCCGGAATAAATGGAATGAAAAGGTTCGTAATAGGTTTATTTTGATTTTGTTTTGTTCGTGGGAATTCTATTTGGTTAAAACATTTTTCAATAAAAGAATTTGGATAATTATTGAAATTTAGAATTTCTTTTATAAATTGTTTTTCTTTGGAACAATTAGATTGATTACAAATTATTTTTGCTCTATCATATAGACTTTTTACGATACATATATAATGCTTTGAAGTATTTTAGTAATGTTCACGAAGAAGCACCAGTAACCAAATTATTCCCAGCGACAAAAGTGACGAGTTTTCCGAATAATTGATTCTAAACTTTTCACTTGTTCTGTTCTGGAAAATATTTTTGGGAAAAAATCCAGAAAAAATTATTAGAGTTTTCTCCAAAATTATAATTATATAATTTTTACAGAAAATACCTGAAGATTGTCAGTATTTTAAATAAAAATTATATGTTTTTTTGCGTAGAAAGAATTGCTTAATAAAAAATTTGCTAAAATTGGAATGACCTGAAATCTGAAAGAAACTTGAAAACTCTTCAGAGCGATGAGAGTGTCGAATTTTCCAAATATTTTTTTGGAATGAGCCCAATTTTCTAGCAAAATCAATTCTGCTATTTTTGAAAATTAAATTTTTTTGCGTTTTTTATATTTCACCCGGTGAAGTATTGTTGAAAGTTTACGGGACACTCTAAATATGCTTCTAAAATACTTATAATAGACTTATAATAGTGTTAACTATTTTTAAGGTATTCCGTTCCACATCATTCTGGGGTTATCAGTATGCAGGGCAGTGCATACAGTGGTTCAAGACAAAGTAGTCACCCTCATTCGAGCAGAAAGTCTTCTAGAAGTCACCACCTACGCAATGGAAATGAAACGGTCATTTAAATTGGTCTAAATATGGCAGTGTTTTAAATCGTGCAAAAAGTCATCGATATACTGATTGGAAATTTCCTATGACAAAGTAGATGATTTTCGTTAGCCTTCAATGGCTAAGCTTTTCAAGCTATATATAATTTTCTCAAACAATGTTCTGACATCACAGAGTAGAAAATTTTGTTAATTTTATATTGTCTATTTGGGTCCCTGCCGTTGCTCGTCAATGGCTAGGCATCAAATTAAAGGACTGAAATTATAGTATTACAATAATCAGGTCCATTTAAAATCACTATCACAGTGAAACCTCAATACATTTAATTTATTTGTATTACTCATGTGCTACAAACGATCGCATTGTCTAAATCTCTTTTAGTGAAAGTGTGCACTTTCTACACTTCTTTTAGGATTAATAAGTAGTAGCTTCTAAATGCTTACTTTGGTGCATTTGTATTTTTTTGTATATATGTAGAACTGAGAGCAATTTGAATGGTCTGCTAATCTAGTGCCAGTTTTATTGCAGACCTTTTTACAAAACAATAACCTAAAGTTTCAAAACTCGCGGGTGGTAAGACAACTAATTATGTCGAATAATAGTATATTATATACCTAGGTAGAGAAGTAAGCTATTATATACCGAGAACTTTTATATATAATGTGCGAGGTATTTAATAGTCTTCTCGACCGAAGTATATATATAGAATTTTTTTGCTACTAACACGGATAATTTCCTAAATTGATTTAATTAGATTTTGAATTTCCAATAAATTTTCTGAAAAGTGACATTATATTTGATATTCTGACGTTCAGTTGGCAATTTTTTCTGTCTCCAGAAAACTGCGGGCGAAATAGTTCTATGAAAAACTCTTGGGAAAGGCGAAAAATTTGTGAATGTTAAAGTTAAAGTGATTTTCGAACTGAAAATGGATGGAATGAATCTCTCTTGAACTTATAAAGGTGGACAACTAACAATAATGAAGAACGTACACATCTTTCATTATTTACCTAGGGACTTTTTTATTATTTTGATTGACCTAGGGAGAGAAATATAACTTCTAACTAGCGAAATGGAGTAAATAATGGGGACTTCTCGGGTTAGTAGTAAAAAAACATATCTCATGGTGGCGTCATTTACATGCATTATAATGTAAATAGTATTGATACATAGTATTTATTTTGTTAACTAAGTTATACTTAAATCAATGATTTGATAATATTTTTGTATTTAGCTCGCTATAGGAGAGGGCTTTTGGAGACTTTTCTCAACATTATTTAAATACGTAATGTTTCGCCTCATTTCGTAGAGTTAAGTGCTTGTTTATTTTCAAAAAATCAGTTGTTGGAAAAAGACTAGTCTTGTGTATTTTCAAACTAAACCTGTGTGAAAAAAATTAACTAACACAAAGTTGTACCATCATATGGGCAAAACATATTTTTATTCGAATGAATCTGAAACTGCCATTTTTCAATCAGAAGCGATGATCATAAAGAAGCACTTTTCTTTACTCTTCATTTGTTTCACTTTTGCGCATGGACTTGTACGCACATGTGCGCAACAGGAAATGTGACAAATTTAACATATCACTGTCATTATATTTTTAAAGTATTTTCATTAAAAAGTAACTGACATGCTTTCTAATGAATTACGTAGGTTTATCGACAACTGTTGATCATAATTTAAAGTTTACGTACAATTTGTAAATTATAACTTGGTTACAAGTTGTTTACAATTACACTCATTGTTTGAGTTGTATTTATATGCTTACAAAAGTACGCTTTTGAAAACTTACAAACGTCAAAACGTGACAATGTCAGAAATGGCACTAATAATTCGTGTTATGTCTTTCATTCGAATAAAAAATGTTGTTTGATACGAGGGAGAAAATCAGTTTTTCGAACTCCTGACGATACTTTTCGCCCTTGTATCGAAAACTACTATTTTACTTTTCGCACATAGGCCATAATCATTATGAAGCACTAGGTGTTCTACTTTTGCGCCCACAGTATACGGGAAAGTAAATATATCATATTGTATGATGGTATAAGTGTAAGCTCCAAAAACAAAAAAATGTCCGGTTATGGGAGGTGGCCCTGTAATAAAGTTAAGTATTTAATTAAAAAGCAATATTTATTTTCAGCTGTTTTATCACATTTTTCAACGCGTCTTCAAGTCTGGAACAAATAAATAGGCAAAATGAATTAAACGAAATTGGAAATTGAAGGTAATCATAGAGAAAACAAAGTTGGTATATCCAACTTGTAAAAAGGGAAGAATGCTTGGAGAATGTTTTTCATTATTACCTTCACTTCCTTCGTTATGGGTCACTATACCGTATACGTGGGCCATTAACTGTAACTGTGAGCTGTGAGATCTTATTAACGGATATCATATGTTTTAGACAATGATATGATTGTCTAACTAACAAATCTTGCCTGCTTAGTATTTTTTTACTTTTAATTTATACTTTATATGGAAAATGTCACTTTATGGAAGAGTGTGCCATAGTTTGTTCAGAATATCTGTACACATTTTACTTAATGAATCTTACATTTAGCAATTTATAAATATTTTTGTGATATATGTTCTAAGTTAACTTTTGTACAGTACAATAAAGACTTTGAGGATTTAGTATTTCGTCTTATTTAGTACAATCTACGAGGAGATTGAAGTACTAACGTCGGATTTAAATTGGACTTTATCGGCCTTCTTCACACAATGGCGGAATACGCCGTAAATTGCCACATTGCATGGTGAACCAATAAAAACGAAGGGTTTATGAATCGAAAGAAGCCTTCTTGTTTTAATTCTAAGCGCCTATTTTAAACCTTTTTAAAACTGGGTACGCGCCTCAGGATATAAAAGTGCGAGGTATATAATAGCTTACTTGTCGATCTAGGCATATAATGTACTATTACATGGTTTCACGACTCCTTATGAGTGGATTCAGTCGGGGTGAACTCTTGTCCGAATTTTTTCTTGCTTAAGAGATACAGGAAAAAATTGTCAATTTCGAAATGACCCATTTTTCCTCAGTAAAAAGATATACGGAAAAAAGAAAGTTTTCATTAAACAATTTTCTGTATCTTTTAACTGATCATTTTGAAATTGACTTTTTTGATTTGCCCCTGATCGATGGCATTCATCTTTTATTACAAAAAATTTAATAGCAAAAATCTTTGGAAGGGAGTTTCTCAAAAAAAACTGGCATACAATTAAACTATTTTGCTCTAATCACTTCATATATTAATAAAATCGACAGAACTACTTCTCAATAAAAACAAAGTTCGATGGGTTTAACACAACACAGTGGGAACAGTTAAAAAATGTGATTTTTGTAACTGGTTTATTTCTCTAAACAAGTTATAATTAATTAACCATCTTCAATTCTTTTTTTCTCCAAATCGCTTTCATTTTCGACGGTTATTTCCCTAGTGGAACTCTTTAACGTGAAAACAATGGGTAGCTCTGCCAAAATCGGATTACCATCAAGTTCTAGGTGTCTTATCCATGAAAGCAAAGAATCTTTACTGGATGTGCCTGTAGCACACAATGAGTATATGACGCCATCTTCTTGTTCATGCACGGATGGCATCACTTTTACCAAATTTTCAATAGGTGGTTTAAAATTAAAAAATGGAGCTTTAATATTCTCTACATTGTCTGGATTTTCCAATGTATCATCGAAAGATCGCGGTTGGCCACGTAAAATAAAGTAGTTGATGTAATTCCCACGAAGGAAGACTGTGAAAGGTCCCTCTACAAATACTGGGACCTTAACGCTATTGTCACTTAAAAGGCGCTTTTGTGAGACACTTTGTGCACTTATAATCCATGTGTCGTCAACTGAATCTTTGATATCTGCAGTCTGATATATTGTGACTTGATTAGTGGGATCTACATTACTGATCCTTTCTATTGCCAGTTTAGCCAACTCGTAAGTGTCTTTGGGTAAGGGGTCTGGTAGAGGAAACGGCGAAGCATATCTCCATTTAGGCATCCAATACATCATTCTCCAGTATCTCCTCACGGGAAAAGCTCGCCTGCCAAATATCGCAACAAGCTGGTCTTCCATGTCAAAATCAGGAAGTACATTATTTTCTTCCATTTGACTAAGCAAATCAATGATACATTGCTGTTGTTTCGGATAGTGCATAAACTCGGCCTGTATTAAATTTTGGGCAACAAACTTTCCTTTCGGCAGGACATCTATTAAGGTCCTGTAAACCTCTAAATCTCTGTGTACTCCGAATTCTTTCATATGCTTCAGTGCTGCATAGATAAATTCAACATGTCCTCTTCGATACACATGCTCTTTATCAATATATATGTTAATCATTTGCAGATACGTGTCTTTGTTCTTGTCCCTCACTTCTTGAAATCCATCTCTAATTGTTACAGAGGTTTTGTCTTCCTTAGTTTGCTCCTTAAAATGTAGAGGTGAAACTTTAAAGTATCTTTTGGTAACATTTTCACTGCACTGTCCCGGTAGGTTTTTACACTTGAATAAAAGTGAACTTCGTTGAAGTAGTTTTCTGATCAACATGGCAAATCAAAAGGTATATTATATACTCGAATAATAACATACATCTTTTAATTAATTATTACATTTAATTGAACATTTTCATTTATTACTTAACCTCAATAAGTTTGTAGGTTATTCTATTCACAAAACATCCCCCCTAGGGGGTATGTTCTGTGATTCTATTCATCTTCTTTTTTCACTTTCTTCCACTTCTTTATCTTTAGCACAGCTCCTTCAAGGCTATTTTGCCAGCTTTTTCACTTTATCTTTACGATGACTCATTTTTGTAACACCACCCTGTGGATGATTACTGCACGAAGGCAAGTTTCATTAAGTACACATTTAAGTAGAAATTAAGAACTTTTCAAAAATTATCATGAAAATCATAATCGCAGTGTTTGCCATCTACCAGACTAATCTCAAAATGCCTTGATATATGAATATCACAAGAATAAATAAATTCGGCCTAATTTGCATTGCATGAATTAATTTTACAAATGCGAGTTGGTATGAGGTTTACTTGTTAAAATATATTCTTGTTCCCTTAATGCGACCAGCCTGTAATGATGTTGTCCCCGTGTAATTGCATTCTGTAATTGAATTTTCCCATTAATATGCTTATTCGCTAAGTAAGATTCAGAAATTAATAATATATAATCTCCTGGACAAAATTAGAAGGAGATCGTAAAAAGTTCCCATTATTACCCTAATTTTTTTCGAATCAAAAAAATCGAAATGTTTATATTTTGAATACATAATTGGTAAAATGAGTAAAAAAGTTGATTTTTAATAGTATCATTAAACCATATCTTGACTATGGCGGATCCCTACTTTATTTTGGAAACAAACCAAAAAACCAATGAGCATTTTGAATTGCCCCAGATATAAACCAATAAAAATATGTTGAAGTCTCTCTTGATTGTAGTGATATAATTGTTTAAGCTAAAAGAGTTATAGATTAGAGATAATTCTTTCCAGCTTTCTGCAAGATGAGGACCTATCCTCCATTTTCCATTTTCTATCCGTTGTTCCTCAAAAAGTTCACTACACTTTTACAAACTACCGCACTTGCCAGAAGCTTCACAATGATTCTACATTTCCCATTAAGAACGCGATTCACACGACACAAAGGATCATCGACCAATTTCGTTCTCTGTCGATATCAAACTCACATTCAAACACCTTTTCGACAAAAAAGACATCGAACTATAGAATAAACATGATTATTTAATCATTTCGGGTTCGCCCTTTCGATGATTCATGCTTTGCTTGGCAGTTCGATTTCACTTTGTTTATATATTTTTGTGGAAAGTGTCTGATCGCATTGCAATATTTCCAAAGGGAAATTTCACGTTCCAACTTACCGAAAATAAACAACTAAACGAAAAACGCTCCGAGCGCCGATCTTCTACTAATTTAATTTTAAATTAGCGCCATTTAAACTTGTCTTAATTTCATTCATCTACAGTAATTAATGCACAACGCCAAAACTACAATTAATAACCGAATTAATTTTGTTTTTCTAAAAATATTGCTATCAATCTGTTGCTCAATTTCCGAGCGAGGATAGAAATCGACGAAATTTCAACCAATTATTCCGCTACAAGCGCAATTCGAGGTGCGGCGCAGTAAGGAGCGATGAGTTATAACTCACGAGCTCACAGAGCGGCATCAACTCAAAAGCGCAACTCAACACAGTGTTATTCAGGCCTAGTGTTGAACGTGTGAAGTGTAACAATGAAAAAATGTATAGCAACATCAACAATTTTATTTTTCCTTCGGTTTCACTTACTTAGCTTATTCAAAATATCAATATGTATGTAGGTACATGTACAGTTGAAACTGTATGTTATCCAATTAATTAAAAATAAAATAAATAGACCCAACCATGCCCATTGTCATTCTTGTTTAGCTAAAGAAAAAAATCGATTTCAAAAGTGAACTGTATAATCACACAGCCAATCCAGTATCCAAGCCCATAAACTGTTTACATAATTCGTATGTCGAAAAGGAAGTGGCTACCATTGGAGTGGCCCTCATATAGTTTATGGACATTCCCCTGTAAAGGCCTTTCATGATCCCATGATCCGCATAGATGTGCTTTAATGTTTTAACCATTCCATGGCCTAAGTGCTGTGTTTCTGGCTTCATCATTGCGAGTTGCATGCGTCTTCTCGTAACATCCAATGGATAACTAAAGCTTTGAGCGATTGCCCCGGCCATTCCCCCACAAAGAAGCTTTGCTGGAACTGTCAGAACCACCCCGCCTAAGGAAAAATAAAATAGTAAAAATTGAAAATGTCCTGGAAACTGATTTACCAGTATTTTTTGGACAAGGTCGTGAAGTCCACGTTGGCAAGTATCTTAAACAGCCATATTTCAGATACTCAAAGCAATAAAAAGACAGCCCTGCATAGGGAACCATGCCCATTAGAGTAGGCGCGAAACCTCGATAAAGCGCTCGGAATCCGCCTTCGTCTTTAAATATGCAAGTTGCGGTGTGTAATATACCTGTATATACATGTTCACCACTTATCTGTAATAAAACATATCGATATTAGTGAACTGATCGCACGATTAAGTTCATCAGCAAGAGTATTTGTAAAATATTCTCATCCGAATTTCATGGCGTTAAAGTGTTTAATGTTCAAAAAATGGTGTTTACCGTTTTCAAGTGAACGAAAATGAAAGTATATGACTAGAAATACTGCATCTCTTAATTTGCAAGTACGTGTAAAACTAACTCTAAGAGATTCGATTTACCGTTAAATGTTTTGATGTCAGTCAGAAAACAACAGCAGAAAATCTAGCGTATGTTCATGTCACGACCAAAATTCTCTTAAAATGTGGGCAGTAGTTTATACAGTGAACCCTGTATACGAAATGAACAAAGTTCGGCATTTGTGACTGAGACTTAAAGAACTTGGAAAATTTTTCAGTTCATGGACGATCAGAGCGTGGAAAATATTCTGCGATGGGAATTTACAGAGGAAATTTAAAAAAAAGGACTAATTTACTTAGGCAAGCAAGTAGAAGGTCCCAGTTTTATACATACAAATTTTTCTATACGAAATCTTAAAAAACCAACTTTTTAAAATCTTAAACCCTCATTTTTTTCTCAGAAGTGTGTTCAGCTTTAAATGTAAATATGTATCACTTTCTATTAACTGACCTACACCTGAAAAGCGCATATTTCATTTTATTAAAACGCCACTCTCTTTCAAGCAGCTTATTAATAATTATTATATTATAGTTTTTACAATTCCTACATAATTAACAACATAAACCTTTTCTTTCCCGCAAAACATCAAACTTAATAATTAATGAAACGCAACTTAATAATTAATGAAAAAAAAATTAGTACGAAGCAATAAAGTGTATATTTCAAGAAATATTTCTGATCCTGAAATATTTCTGAAATAATTATCGACTATTGCGCACAATTATATTTCACTATCCATTAAGGATTTGCCTGAATTTACTGGTTACGACAAGTATTTCTTCATTTTTTCCACTCGATTATGAGTGGGTTTATCAGTAGCAGTAAATTGGTTGGATTTAAGAAGGTAAGTGCTGTTGAGATTGACTAATCTAATCGAGTTTCTTTTTGTTTTAAGAGTCTCATAATTGCCCACTTTTGGCATGCTTACCTCACAGTTGGCATGCTGGAAAAATTGCCTAAAAACCACTGAAGTGGATGAAAAGAAATTCAGTACATTTCACATATGTTGCTGTAAGTGTTTTATCTTGACGAACCCAAAATTAATATTATCAACTTAAGATAAAGTATAAATTTTGTCAATAAATTAATTTTCAAGAACTCTATATGAATTCTTCAAAATCTTGATTAACAAAAATGTTCCAATTCCTTATATACGTATTTTCGCTTTTTAAATGAAGATGAGCTAGAAAATTGTTGGTAGCTCGCAATTTATCTCGTATTTTTAGTGGACAACAATTGATGTTTTATAGAATATTGTCGATATATTAAAAATGCAGTTGTTTCTTAACGTAAATAAAATGTAAAAGTTTAACGAAGCTTTGCTACAATACTATTTTTACAGCGAAAAATTTTTTGGGCCTTAAATTTTGTGGGCATTTCCAACAATACGAATGGAGAAGCTGGTAAAAATATAAACTTTAGTATGTGCCTCCATAGCCGAGGCCAGTTATGTGTATTGTTGCCGGTTATTGGTATTGTAGAGGGCAGCACTTGTAATCTTAAGAATGAATATATTGCAAAATCAATCTGTATGGTATTAAAAACTTGAAGTAGAAAACGTACTTTCGAATTTCCCTTCATATCTCGACATGTAAATTATTAGTTAAAAAATCGAGAATAAAATTACATAAAGAATTTGAATTTTTTTTATTTAAGTTTTTTATTCTAGTCGATATCTAACATTAAGAATAATACATTCTCAGATCGCGCCATGTAACAGACATTTCCGATAAATTAAAGATGTGATTGTCCCGAAGTTAAAGTCGATTCTTGCAACTGAATTAAACCAATTTTTAATAACGCCCCTGTCAAATAGTGTACTTTTTTAAGTGTCACCGGTGACAGAGCGCTGACAGCACATATTCGACCAATCCCCGAGTTCAAAAGACCAAAACTTGACACTTATTTTGATTAGATGTCATTGTGACTTATTTTGTTTAGTTCTACTCAGCTTTTGCAAGCCTTTAAACAGATAGAAACATATTGAAAAATGTGTAAGTATTGTTTTATGTTGTAGACTTTAAAAAGTTAAAAGGCGAGTAATGTTTACGTTTGGCAGCACTCCCATCGGTAGTTGAACTCGCGAATAGTTACGCCAATTAAAAGCTAATCGTACATGTAACGTTGAAAGGTTCATTATATTAACCAACAAAAATCTATCGGGATACTTTATTTTAAAAAAACGTTAAATTATTTTTCCATTTTTCACAAGTAACCTCTAAAATAAATTGCTGCGATTTGAAGTCACCCTGTACTTAAAAATAATCCTAGTTTTTTCTTTATCATATTTGTGCCCCTAAGCAGTACATCCACAGTGAATACCGATTTCGCTAAGATCTTGGAATAAACGTGAATTTTCGAATTTTAGTTCCTTGAAATCCACTTATTTTTCTATTGCGCACTAGCACTAGCAAATATTTAATTTGCTTTTTGTAAGTGAAATATTGAATCATGTTGATGTTTATTTTCGTATTGCGCCAAGTTCTTCGTAATGTATAAGAAATTCGTAGAAATATTTACAGTAGAGTGTTTATAGGGTTTATTAGGTAATTGCACCTGGTCTTTCCAATATATTTTTTTCGATTTGGGTTTGGAAA